TATTCTGGAATATTTGGATCTTTCCTCCTTTGCTCAGGGGAGGAAGAATATTTCCATCTGCAGTGTCAGATGGACAGCAATGAGGATATATCTGTTCCTGTTGTTTCTGCTGCTCCAGATAGATAGCCCTCTATTTATGGGACCTGCCTTTGTTTGAAAACAACCAGGTATTTGGGAACTGGGCTGCCCAGCACAAGTAACCCACCAATCCCTTTCAATAAGATCACTACAAGCCAGCTACACTCTTACATTTCCAACACAGTATTTATGTCTAAATAAATAAATTAAGTTGGATCACTCAGCTTTACATTTAAATCCAGTTGGCTCCAACTATTTTAACTGTCTCATTACAAAGTGGTTTCTGTTATGGGAGCTCCCAAAAGAATTTGTTCAGGAAACTCTACCAAAACACTAGTAAAGAAAGATATATATTAATCTATTGTCTTAAAAGTGGAACCCATATACCCCACCCAACCCCCCAAAAAAGAAAGAAAAGTAGGGGTTTTAAATACAGTACACAGCACATGGGAAACAAGCAGGCAATCTATCCAATGTCATATCACTGGGATGGTGCAGCCTCCTGCTTCCAGAATGCAATAGTACATGTATGTGAAACAAAAGTGACAAAAACGTTGGTAAGTCAACTAAGATCCTGGGAAGGTCAGTAAGAACTCTATCCTATCCCAAAAGTATTTATCTTAGGTCATCTCTAATGAACCTAGAAGAGCTAGCATATTTCACAGGGGCTAAATAAAACTTTTTAAAAGGTTAACGGAAAAATATTTATGTGAAAACTGCCTCCAAATAATCTTTTAGTGGGTGGATTCGGCACATACCAGTGAACATCTTTGAGCTTAGTCCAATTCTGTATTAAGCTAGAATTCACCTTTAAGAAACAATGAACCTGTTTTTAAGTAAAACTCTGTATTAATAACATGGAATGTGAATACCAAAAAAAAAAAAGATATTATCAACTGAACTGTATTTAAATATTTTACAAAGTTTTCCATCAGTAGATGGATTTAGATCCATCAGTAGATTTTTAAAATGTGTGATCTTTTTAAAACACTTGTTAGTCATTTATCTGTAAAAATCTAGTTTTTTATGTATATGCCAAGCATAAATATGTAAATTTAGCATAAAATTGCCCT